TGAAATGTCCACCTTCTTCCTCAACTGGTGATTCCCCAGCACCGCTGTCGACAGGGCCCTCAACCGAGTGTGACTCATCTCCTGCACTTCCACTTACACCCCCTCACTTCCCTCCCGTAACAGTGATGGGAATCCCCTTGTCCTTTGTTACCATCCCACCAACATACACATCTAGAAGATCATCAGGCACTGTTTCCGCCACCTCTAGCGAGATGCCACCACCAGACACGTTTTCCTCTCCCCTCCCTTCTCCACCTTCCCCAGGGACTGTTCCCTCTGGGACACCCTGGTCCAATCTTCTTTAGCTCTGAATAACCCCCCTCAGCACCTTCCTCTGTAACCGCCGAAGGTGTAACACCTGCTCATTTACCTCCTCCATCCCCAGTATCCAAGGGCCCAAACATACCTTCTAGGTGTGCTTCACCTGCATGTCCCACAATCTAGTATACTGCATTCACTGCTCACAATGTGGTCTCCTCTACATTAGGGAAACAAAGTGTAGACTGGATGACCACTTCGCAGAACATCTACATTCTGCCTGCAAAAAAAGACCCTGAGCTTCCAGTTGCTTGTCACTTTAACATTTCACCCTGTTTCCTGGCCAACATCTCTATTTCAGACTTGCTGCAATGTTCCAGCGAAGCTCAGTGCAAGCTGCAGGAACAACACCTCATTTTCCACCTAGGGACCCTGCAGCCCTCCAGGCTCAATATCAAATTCAATAAGTTTAGAGCCTGAACTCTCCCATGTCCTAGCCCCCTAACCTATACACCAGGCCTTGTTATCACATAGTCAGCCATTATGCACTACCTATTGTCAGTCACTAACAGTCCCCATTAACAGCCAGACAACATCCTAGCTAGATCGTTTTCAACACCATTGTCTGTTCAACTGTTCTTGTCTCTCTTTGGATTCTATCCCCACCTATCATTTAGTTCCTACCCTCTCCCTCCACCCTATCTTCTGCACATAAACCGACATTTTCCGAGCTACCATCAGCTCTGAGGATGGGTCATCGGACCTGAAACTCTAACTCTGATTTTTCTTCATAGATGCTGCCAGACCTGTTGAGCTTTTGCAGCAACTTCTGTTTTTGTCCCTGAAAAGGACCTTGATGAATCAGATGGGTTTTTATAACAACGATGGCTCATGGTCACAATTACGGAGACAAGCCTTTAAACTTCAGCTTTCCGTCAGCTGCAACTGTGGAATCTGAATCCATGTCCCAAGAGTATTTTCCTGGGTTTCTGAATTACCAATCCAGTACCATTACTACTGTATCATCATCACCAGAGTTGGTCCCTCTGGATTATTAGTTCAGTAACATAACCGCTACACTACTTACTATTATATTCTCCAATCTAGACAACACAACTTTACAAGCACAAAATAAGTTTCAGTGAATGCTTCCAAGAACCAAAACCTAATATGAATAATATGCCAATATGAACAGAGTCAAGTGGCAGACACCCTCAGGAATGAAATCTCTGCCTGATTAGATATTCTAATACACTACTCTGAATTTTCAAAACTGCATACCGCTAATTAGGATTCCTCCAGAAGTGCAATAACTTGATTTATAATAGTGCCTTTATGCAGAAAGGGTATATCACAGAAACACAAGGAATGAATCTTTACTTGAAACAGTCTTGGTTAGTTTAACTAAGTCACCGAACCATCATTTATCATTCTCCTGAAAAATCAGAAGCTTTCCCTTACTGGACTTACCAGGTTATCCAACATTCTCATTAAAGCTTCAAATTCTTGCTCCCCAGTCAGCCATTTGGGATGTGAACTATTTTCATCACCCCCTGAAGATTCAGGGCAGCGAGACTTGGCTTTGTATTTTACGGGATCCAGCAGAACCAAATTGTCAGGCCCTCCAGCACTGGCCATTGTACGAACCTAGAAACACAATAGTATTTAAATTTTAATAACAGAAATTCTGAAAGTGTTGCTTTACTATTATCGATGCTAACTCTCCTGGACATATTTACGTCTTCTGGACACAAGTTGTGAAGAAGACACAAGGAGGGTAGAGGAGAGGAAGGTAGATAGGTAAAGTGAGTGGGTGAAGATCTGGCAAATGAATATAACATGTGAAAATGAAATTGTCCGCTTCGGCAGTAAGAATAAACAACAAGCATATTATCTAAACGGTGAGAGATTGCAGAGCTCTGAGATGCAGAGGGATGTAGGAGTCCTAGAATATCATTTTCAGAAGTTTATTATACAGATAATAGGAAATGTGTAGGAATGCCAGTATTTTGTATTATGAGAAGAAATAACTGCAAGGGTTAAGATTCAATCATGCAGGACACTGTCCTAAAAAGTCTACCCTGCATTCATAGGCCATGGCCCCTGATTCTGGACTCTCCGGTCAGAGAACATCGTTCCTGCATCTATCCTGTCTAACTCTGACATAACTTTGTAGGTTTCAATGAAATTCTACAACATTCTTCTAAACTCTACGAATATCCAGTTTCTCCCTGTACATCAGTCCCGGCATCCAGGAATCAGTCTGGGAAAACTTCACTGCATCCCCTCAATAGCCAGAATATTCTTCTGCAGATAAGAAGATCAAAAAGGCATATAATACCCTGGGTATGGTCACACCAGTGCCCTGTACAGTCACAGCAAGACATTCCTGCTACTGTGCTCAAATCCTTTTGCTGTGAAGATCAACATATCAGTTGCCTTATTCACCGCCTGCTGCACCTGCATGCAGTGTTCCTAGTGTTTGAGGACACCCAGATCTCATTGTACCTCAGATCTCATTTCTCAGTCTATCACCATTCAAATCATAATCTACCTACCACACACGTATCCACATCATACCACATCTGCCATATATTTGCCCACTAACAACTTGTCTAAATCACACTCAAACTTCTCTGCATCCTCCTCACAGCATACCCTCCCATCCAGCTTTGTGTCACCCGAAAACTGGGAAATATGACATAGTTTTTCTGATGAAGGGTCTAGGCCCGAAACGTCAGCCTCTCTGCTCCTATGATGCTGCTTGGCCTGCTGTGTTCATCCAGCCCTGCACCTTGTTGTCTCGGATTCTCCAGCATCTGCAGTTCCTACTATCTCTGAATATGACATAGTTTCCTGATTTAATATATATTGTAAATAGCCATATCATGAAAAGCCGCTCAGAAATTGATCCATTTATTCCTACATGACCCCTAATACCATTTAATTTTGAATGATCTCTTGTGGGACATTATCAAAAGTCTTTTGAAAATCCAAGTAAACGACACCCACTGACCCCCCCTCATCATTCAATTAGGTACTTCCTCAAAAAATTCCAGCAGATTTGTCAAGCACAACTTCCCCTTCGTAAATCCATGCCATGTCCGATCTTGTCACTATCTTCCAAGTGCTCTGCTATTAAATCTTTTACAACTAACTGTAGCATTTTTCCCACTACTGATGTCAAGCTAACTGGTCTATATACCGTTTTCTCTCTGCCTCCCTTCTGAAATAATGGAGTTACGTTAGCTACCCTCCAATCCAAAGAAACTTTTCCAGAGTTTACTGAATTTTGGAAGATGACAACTAGCACATTTTCTATTTCTACAGCCAATGCCTCAGGTACTCTGGGATGAAACTTATCAAGCCCTGGGGACTTATCTGCCATTATTAGGGAAATGGTGTTGGGGAAGCTAATATTAATTTCTATCAGGTCCTCCTTCTTATTAGGCCTAGTGCTTCCCCTACATATTTGGGATTAAAAAAAAATCATTTGTGGGGCATGGGCATCACTGGCCAGCCAGCATTTATTACCCATCCCTAGTTGCCCTTGAGGAGGTGGTGGTGAGCTACCTTCTTGAACTGCCACAGTCTGTGTGCTTTAGTGGATCCCCAATGCCCTTAGGGAGGGAATTCCAGGATTTTGACCCATGGCCAATGAAGGAACGGTGATATATTTCTAAGTCAGGATGGTGAGTGGCTTTAAGGGGATCATCTTTGTGTCTGCTTTTGTGAAGACAGAACTAAAGTATTAATTTAATTGGTCTGCCATCTTTTCGTTCCCTATTTTCAATCTCCCTCTGATTCTGACCGTGGGGGACCTATACTTGTCTTTACCAATCTTTTTCTCTTCATGAACCCATAGAAGCTTTTACTATCCATTTGCACAACCCTGCAAGCTTACTCCTGTACTCTATTCTCCCTCTCAGTATTTCTTTGACGGAATCTAGGCTGTCCCCAATCCTAAGGTCTGTTGGATTTTTTGGCCAATTTGAATGCCTCTTCCTTGGATTAGCACTATTCTTAATTTCACTTGCTGTGTTATGATCTGGCCACATTTCCAGTTTTAATTTAACAGAAGACTGGATGAACAACCTTTGCTGATCATCTATGCACACTTTAAAGGTTTGTCACTGCCTATCTACCATTATCCCTTTAAATAATGATGCTGAATTTATCATAGCTAGCTCACATTTCATTCCATTGTAATTTCCTTTATTTAAATTGAAACCCCTAGTCTCAGAAACAACTACATCACTCTCCATCTTAATCCACTTTATCCAACTGTGGTCACTCTTCCTTAAGGCCTAATACAACTAGACTGTCAATTAGTCCTTCGTCAATACACAACACCAAGTCCAGGATGTCTTTTTCTCCAGTTGATTCCTCAACATGTTGATTCATAAAACTATCCTCCAATAATCCCCACTCCAAGGTGTTGCTACTGATTTGATTTGCTCAATCTACATGCAGATTGAGGTCATTTGTAATTAAGGGCAGTTGTTGGCACAGTGGTTTTACTGCTAGACTATTAATGCAGAAACTCAGCTAACATTCTGGGGCCTGGGTTTGAATCCTGCCACAGCAGATAGTGGAACTTGAATTCAATGAATAATATCTGGAATTAAGAATCTACTGATGCTTGTTGATCAGTAGACTCATCAGATTATTGCTGATTGTCGGAAAAACCTATCTGATTCACGAATGTCCTTCAGGGGTGGAAGTCTACCATCCTCACTTGGTCTGGCCTACATGTGACTGCCCTCTGAAATGGCTTGGCAAGCCACTCCAGACCCCATTAAGTCTCATGGCTTCAGGTTAATCATGCATGAGGAAACCTCCTGCTGGTAACAATGTTCTGTTCTCTCTCAGCTGATGAATCAATACTCCCCCTGTTAAAATGCACTTGGGGGAAGAGTGGCAAGGATGCAAAATGAACTCTGGGTGGGGATTTCAATGTGCACCACCAAGCGTGGCTCAGCAACAGCACTACTGGTCAAGCTGGTCAGGTCCTAAAGAACAAAGCTGCCAGACTGGGTCTACACAGGTGGTGAGGGAACCAACAAGGGGAAAAACATACTTGCCCTCGTCCTCGCCAATCTGCCAGCAGCAGATGCATCTGTCTCGATAGTATCATTAAGAATGACCACCACATAATCCTTGTGGAGACAAAGTCGTGCCTTCATATTGAGAATAACCTTCATTGTACTGTGTGGCACCATTACCATATGAAATGGGACAGACTTTGAACAGATTTTGCAAGTCAAGGTTTAGCATCTATGAGGCACTGTGGGCCATCCAGCACAATCTTCAACCTCATGGTCCAGCGTATTCCACACTTAACCATTACTATCAAGCCAGGGGATCAACCTAGGTTCAATGGAGAGTGCCAGAGGACATGTCAGAAGACCAGGTACACCCAAAAAATAAGGCATCAACCTCGTGAAGCAAACAGGACAACTTGTATGCCAAACAGCAAAAGCAGCAGGTGACAGAGCTAAGCAATCCCACAACCAATGGATCAGATGTAAGCTCTGCAGTCCTGCCATATTCAGTTACGATGTTGGTGGACAATTAAACAACTCACTTGAGGCGGCAGTGGTTCCACAAATATCCCCATCCACAATGATGGAAGAACCCAACAAGTGCAAAACATAATGCTGAACCATTCACAACAATCTTCAGCAGAAGGACTGAGGTGGATGACCTATCTCAGCCTCCTCCATTGGTTCCCAACATCATAGACAGTGCCCCAGGACTTGCCACTACCGTAGCCAAGCTCTTCCAGTACAGCTACAACACTGGCAGTGTGGAAAATTGCCCAAGTATGTCTTGTACACAAAGGACAGGAAAAATCCAACACAGCCAATTACCGTCCAATTAGTCTACTATCGATCATCAGTGAAGTGATAGAAGGTGTCATCACCGAACAGTCAAACAGCACATGCTCACTGTGTGTGACATGCTCACTGATGCCCAGTTTGGGTTCCGCCAGGGCCTTTCAGCTCCTAACCTCAGTACAGCCTTGGTTCAAACATGGACAAAAGATCTGAATTACAGAGGTGAGATGAGAATGACAATCCTTTGACATCAAGGCTGCATTCAACCGTGGGTGGCATCTAGAAGCCCTAACAAAACTGGAATGACTGGGAACAAAAACAGAAGTTGCTGGAAAAGCTCAGCAAATCTGGCAGCATCTGTGAAGAAATAAAATCAGAGTTAACGTTTCGGATCCGGTCACCCTTCCTCAGAACTGATGATAGCTAGGAAAATGTATCTAAGAAACTGAATGTATTCAAGAGGCGACTAGATATAGCACTTGGGACGAATGGGATGAAAGGTTATTGGGAGAAAGCAGGACTAGGCTATTGAGTTGGATGGTCAGCCACGATCGTGAAGAATGGTGGAACAGGCTCGAAGGGCCAAATGGCCTCCTCCTGCTCCTAGCTTCTATGTTTCTATGTTTTTATATGCAAAAGATAGGGTGGAGGGAGGGGGCAAGGAGTAAATGATAGGTGGGGATAGAGCCCAAAGAGAGAAGAACAGTTGGTCAGACGAAAGAGTTGATAACGATCTGGCTAGGATGTTGTCTGGCTGTTAATGGGGACTGTTAGTGACTAACAATAGGTGGTGTGTAATGGCAGACTA